AATTTTTTTGAATTCTAGCCATTTGTAAATAATAAATCCTAGAATTAATAATTCTTAATAATCGATTAGCATATTGAATCATTCATCTTTTTTGTATTTATTTTTATTCTAAAATAACATTTATACAATGATTAGCGCAATGAACAAGTGAATATTTTAATAGAAAATAGACGAAATATAGAATAGAGAGATAATCATATCACATCGAGAAAAAAATCAAATGTGAGCAGTATTAAGGAGTAAGATTTTTCACAAAAAAAAATGAGTTATATGAATAAATGCGAAAGAATTTTGTGCAAATAGACTAGAACCAACAAAAAAAAAACAAAAGAAACAAGCACATACATATATTTGGCCGTGCACAAAGAAAAGATAGTTATATTGCTATTAGTTCTCTCTACTTCTATATCTGAGCAAAGATAAAAATGAAGAAAAAGAAAAACAAGATGAAACTTCTTATTTAAGCAATTAAATAAAATAATTCACAACTCGTATGATCAAAATTAATTTTATCAATTGCTTTAAATAATGATGTGACATTAAGATCATCAGGTAAACGTGTTAAAAATTGTAAACAATGAAATGTATCTAATTGACATAAACGTTCTTCATATAAAGATAATATAGCTATAGCTGTGCGAAATATGAATGCATCACCATCACGAAAAAATAAATCCCATATACGTGATACAACATCAAGTGGTAATGATTTAGAAAATATTGTAAAAAACCAATCTAATGCAAAACAATTTGGTTCAATTGACATTTGAATAAAATGTGCACTTAATTTAGGTAAATGATAATTAAGTAATTGTTGAAATAATTGTAAATATTTATCAATATTATTAAAACGATAAAATGTTTGAAAATATGGACGATGTAATAAATTTGAAAAACAAATAAATGAATCAAATAAATCAAGGTTTAATAAAAACATAGCAGCTAGAAATGCTTGACCTTGTACATAACCAACTTCAGGACAAAGATATACATATATACAAAGTAATAATTGAAGATATTCTAAAAGAATAATTATTTAACTATATAATTAAAAACTAATGAAAATTCTTAATTATTTTATGAACATAATTAACCTTCTCAGAATAGAAAGTCATGAGTTTTCTAAAACCTTTTTCATGAAGGTCCAGTGAATTTTAACATCTAAAAACCTGATTTTTCGACACTTACTTGCTAATAATATCTATTTGCATATCAGAAAAATTTTTTTCTGAATCCTTGAAATGTTAGCAAAAAACTAGTCCACAATAGACGAACTACCTTTGGAAGAGCGATGTGAATTTCAATAATGAAAGGTCATGACGTTTTATTCCGAAGCGAGGAGGTGATACGAAGAAATTGATTGAATGAATTAGTAAATGTCCTAAGTAGAGATTTACATGGCGGTGAAAAGTAAAGTTTTCTGCAATAACATTTCGTAGTTAACAAGACTAGAAAAATAACTTATATTGAATTTTTCGTACAAAATTGTCTCCTCTTCAAAATGTCGTTTGCAACTTGAAGATACAATAATCTTTTCGTAGAAAAAGATACTGAATATTGGTTGTGAACAATGCACCCATACTCTCTGCCGGAGACTGTTGTATGCTAACTTCTTAAATGGAATTTTGGAGAGATGAAAATTGTAAAAAAAAATATTCAACGCGAGTAATTCTTTTAATTTTGTTATGAAAAACTTTTCTTTTGATTACACTTTAGATCTCTAGTCTTAAGTAAATATTCATTGATTATTATATCCAATTCTTCTTATTCAAAATAAGACCTTAATTTTATATAGATTTAAATTACAAATAACATTTGCAATAAAATTTATCAACTGAAGATCAAAAATCAAATTGGATTTTAATAATTAAAACGAGAAAATCTATTCTATAATTTATTCATATCATCTCATATTACTGAATATAATTATCATCTTAGAGCAATTTGATAACAGACAACTTATCCTTGCATGTTTCAAATTCTTAATTCAATGTAATCGATACTTTTTTATTTTGTTTTCTTTCATATTCAAGATTCTTTTTTTTCTACTTTATTCACTAAGATCATCATGCATCGAAATTAGTTTATTCTCGACCTGAAATCATTCATTTTGACAACTTTTTTTTAAATGAATATTTATTTGTTCATATACATACCATGATATGGTCCATGTTGTTGAAAAAGTCCAAGTTGTGGAAATGTTCTTGATACATCAAGTTGAATAAGTTCAATATATGTACTTGTTGTCTCACTTGAATGTGAAAAAGTTGTTTGTAATTTGGGTGATACTGAATGATTACTACGAGCATCTTCTGCCTAAGAAAAACAAAATGGTTTTTATGATTAAAATAAATAATTTTTTATTTTCATTTACTTGTTTTGTTTCTTCTAATTTTTCTCTTGCCATTTCTTCAAGTTGTGTAAAAAGTTCATATGTTAAACCAAGTTCATTTCCAATAGCCATTCTCCATACTTTTCCTCTTATACCTAAATAAAAAATAAATAAATAAAAATTTGCAATTTATTATTTCTTTTTTTATGTCATACGTGGTGGTAAACCATGCCACCATAATTTATAAGCTTTGGAATTTAATGTTAAATCTGGACAATTATGTATTCCACCATATTTATCCCAATATGGTAAAATATCATATGTCCATATTTTTAATGATTTTGAAACAAATTCTTCACGTTTTAGTTTTAAACGTTGTCGTTGTTCTTCTTTTTCATCGAATAATTGTTGAGCACGTTTAGCTTCTAAACACATTTTTTGATATTCAACTTGATGTTTAAGTGTTTCTTCATTTGATTTTGGCGGTAAATTTATAGGACGATTTTCAAATATTAAACCAGTACTACTTGTTTTTGATGTTGTATGAGTTGTTAATGTTGAAGAATTAAAACGATTTGAAAGACGATGTAACCAACTAAATGAATGTGATGATGATGAATGTTGATTATTATTAGTTAATGATGATGACGATGTTGTTAGAAGAGATTGTGTAGAAATTTTTCCTGTTTTTGATGGAATAGTATAAGTTGTTGTAGTTGGCAGTTTTTTTGATTTTACTTCATTGTCTATTTGTTCATCGACATTTTCAACAGAAAGTGTTGGTATCGGTTCAATCGTATCCTGACTAAAGAAAAAAGGAAAAAATTAACGCATTTCTTTTTAATAACGAACTGCAATGTAAATATTATAAAAATACTTTTATTTACAACCATACGATAAGAATGATAAAGGTTATGTGTTAAATTATATTTAGAAAAAAACTGACTTTTACGACTGTTAAAAATAAATTCATTTCTTTTGTTTAATCATTGTGATACGAAAAAGAAAAAGAGAAACCGATAACAATTTCTGTTTCCTTATCAATCGACAAGCGTATTATTGATATGAATGATTTTTTTACAATAAACAATTGATTAGCACACAACATTAAAAATACTCATTATCTACAGTACTTTATGCGTATCAAGAACACACAAAGACTAAGAATCATGTTTACCTTTATATGAATATTGAGTTTAGTAGTTTACATTCATTCGATATACATACTCAATTGATGATCTCATTAAAATGAGTTCAGATTAGGGACACGTTACGGATCACATCTTTCATGACTCATGTCCGAAATGACGTTTGAACCTTTCATAATAGCGTATGATAATTTTGTAGAGCAATGAAAATGCCGAGAAAAGTAATCTACAGAATCGAAAATTACAAAAGATTTTTTTTTCTATCAATTTTAGAAAAGGTCAAGGCTTAGAGCTTCTACTGAATTTAATCCAAAAACAACCTATGCTTGAATTAATTTATAACTACCAATAAAATTCGTACGAATATTTTTCGTTTTTTTTTAAAGATCACGTTGCTTTATTCTTTATAAAGTGCTTACGTGACAGTTGTTCTTTCCAATGATGTTTCTGATACACTTCTTGACCGATTGATTTTTTTTGTTGGTGTTATAGGTAATTGTTGTTCATCTTCTTTCTTTTTGGATGAAAAAAATGTTGCTACTGTATTAGCAAAACCACTTTTTTTCTTTATTGTTTTATCATCATTTATTGTTTGATCAATTTGATCTGATGATGTACAACAAAATTCATTTAAAAGAACACTATAATTTGATACCGAATAATTTGAAAGACTATTTCTACGTGACCGACGTTCACCACTTGATGATAATCCTATACAAAAATAAAAACAAATTTTTATTTAAAGCAAAAGAGAGATATTGCCTTTTTTTTGTTTCTTACCATCAGTATTTGATTTGGAATTTTTTCTTGATACATTTGGTTGTTTATCATCAACATCATCTTCATCATCAACAACAAATTCAATTTTTGAATTGATTTTTTGATTATTATTTGTATTTGATACAGCATATGATGATGATGAACAAGATGATGGCGAAGATGCTATTTGTAAAAAACTATTCATACGTTCATTTTCTTCATCAATTGTATCTGTATGTGATGTTCCATGACTAGCTGCACTTAATGTTTTATAACCGGAATCAAGTGAGTTTGATTTACGAAAATATTCTGAATTTGTTTGACGATTTGATAATGATGAACAAATTATATTTTCATTTTTTGTTTCATTATCCAGTGAAAATGATGATGATGATGATGATGAAGATGTTGTTGTTGAAGACGTTGCTGATTTAATATCAATCGCACATGCTGAATGAGCAGAACGAAGTGCTGGAAATTGAATTTTTGAGGGTGATAAACGTTCACTTGAATGAGACCGATATTCTAATGTTGTTGAAGTCATTTTAAAAAATGCATTAATCACTATGCTTGATTGATGATAACATTAAAAAAAACGCTGAGGTGAGGTACAAGAGAAGACAACGAAGAAAAAAAACAATCTTTCTTTTCACCAATCAATAAAACAACTTCGATAGATGTCATTAATCTAATCTTTTTAACGGACAAGCGGTAGTTTCTTCTTTGTTATTAATTTGATCGTTTCATTATTTGTTAGAATAATGGTAAAAAAAGAAGTTTTAGAAATACAAGTTTTAAAAGAAGATTTCGTTATTTTTATTTTTAGCGGCGAAGTCTTGCACCAAGTACAACAGCGAAACGTTTAATTGATTGTAGTGATTATGAAAATGATTCAGATGATGATGATGATGATGGTTCGAAAACAAATGGAAAACGTAAACGAAAGGAAAAACCAAAAAAAGTAATAAAAATAAAATTAATTTTATTGAATCACATTTTTTTATTAAATTAAGATTTATGCTAATGCAAAAATTTCAAATAAAGGTTATGATACAAGTCAATTTATATCTTCTTTTCGTAAAGCACTTGTACCTATTGGAAATTCTCCATCGATAAATATTGGAAGTGGTAATAGTGAACATGTAAGTAAATGAAATAAGTGATGAAGGAAATGATGAATTTGATTATAGGAAGCATTTATTCGATCACTACTTGCTCAACCATTTAAAATCCCAATTCCAAATTATAAAGGACCAATATCAGGTCGTGGTTTAGGTGTAAGACGTATGGGTGGAAGACAAAGTTTATATGATCCAGAGGAAGACGGCGCACTTGTTTTGTATACACCACCAGAATTAAGTGAACATGATAAACTTAGAATTGACAAGTAAAACAGAAAAACAAACTTTGTTAATGAATTTAATTTATCTTAATTTATTTGTTTTGTGTTTTATAGAGATAAAGTACAAGTTCATGTTGTCGTTGATCCAGTTTTATCAAAAATACTTCGACCGCATCAACGTGAAGTAAATTTTCTTTTTTCTCATTCTTATTCATGTGGTTGAAAATAAACGCTCTGGAGTTGTAGGGTGTCAAATTTCTTTACGATAGTGTTACAGGTGCTCAAATTGAAAATTATCATGGTTGCATTATGGCTGATGAAATGGTAAGCATTTAATCAAAGATAGTGATCTAAATCTATAATTGAAATTTTTTTTAAGTAATTCAAGAGCTAATTGACAATTTTCATAGGATTCGTGATACTCAATGAAATCATTTTAGCAAAATTGGATGGTCGCTCTGAAGATACGAGATAATTTTCTTCGGTCTTTTATATTTAGTGACTAGCACATACTTCTGTACATTTCTCAGACGCCTAGAGCCGATCGGATCCAAAATTTTCGTACCCGGACTCGATAGATTCTATTGCATGAAGAAAGATATCAGGTATATAATAGCCATCTTTCTCTCAATCGTGGAAAGTTTTTATTCCTTCCCACTCGAGCTGAAATTCCCCTTTTGCGTTCTGTTAGAAAAAAATATTCTTCTGTTGCAAAAAAAGTGACAACTCTCTTGTCGAAATATCGGCTGTTTCGGATCACTACTGTTCATGACTATGTATTTTTGTCTTGATGAACCCTAACTATAGAGACCAAATTGAGAATTCGAAGCTACTTATTTCCACATGATCCTGGTTAATAAACTTCTTCAATCTGAATTTAAAAATATCCATATAATGAAAGAACGAAATTGAAATTATTCTTATCATATTTTGTATCCTATTTCACTTTCGATGGAAAAGGTTTTAGTAATAGAAAGCTTCGTTAAAGTTATCTGTGGTTTCTTAACAAACAAAATAAATTTTTAAATATATTTTTTTAGGGTCTTGGTAAGACACTGCAATGTATAACACTTTTATGGACATTATTGGTAAACACTATTTTATCAAAACTTTTTTATCAATGAAGTTTCTTTTGATAGCAACAAGGACCGGATTGTAAACCAACAATTCAAAAAGCCATTATTGTTTGTCCAGCATCATTAGTTAAAGTTTGTATTTTACTTAATCTAATCAAAATAAAATTATTATGTGCATTATAGAATTGGGATAAGGAAGTATATAAATGGTTAAATGGTCGACTTGGTACATTACCCATTGACAATGGTACAAAATCAGAAATTGAAACACAACTTAGTACGTTAATTCTTTTTTTTTATTAAGATTAAATAGATGTATCAAAAAATAATTTAGAAACATTTATGCTTTCTCAAGCACGTCGCTCGACAAATCCAGTATTAATTATATCATACGAAGCATTTCGTTCACATGCTGCTGTACTTCATAAAGGTTCCGTTGGTTTAATTATTTGTGATGAAGTAAGTTTTAATTGATATAGAAAAGAAAAAAAATCTCATTAAAATATTAGGGACATCGATTAAAAAATGCTGAAAATCAAACTTATGATGCATTATTTAAACTTGATTGTCATCGACGTGTTTTATTATCTGGTACACCAATTCAAAATGATTTACTTGAATATTTTAGTTTAATACATTTTGTTAATAGTGGTATTCTTGGTAAGATTTACTAGAATGAACGAAAAAATTGTTCTCAATTGAGATTTTGTTGTTGTTGTTGTTTCTTTTCTTAAATTTATTACAGGTACAGCTAGTGAATTTCGAACACGATTTGAAAATCCAATTCGACGCGGTCGTGATGCTGGTGGTACTGATAAAGAAGTTCAACAAGCTCAAGAAAAATTACAAGAATTAAATCAAATAGTTAATCGATGTATTATTCGACGTACACAAGCATTACTCACAAAATATTTACCGGTTAAAAGTAAGAAGTTTAAAATAAATTGATTAAAATAAGATTAGTTTTCTTTATTTAGTTGAACAAGTTATCTGTTGTAAATTAATGCCATTACAAATTGGTTTATATAAAAAATTTGTTGAAACTGGTATATCAGAACTTGGATCATTAAATGGAAAATTTTCACAATCAGCTTTATCTGTTATTACAAGTCTAAAGAAATTGTGTAATCGTAAGTTGATTATTTTTTTTTATTTTTTATAATAAAGTTTTTAAAAAAATCAATATTTTAGATCCAGCACTTATCTTTGAAAAGTGTTTAGAAAAAGCAGATGGTTTTTCTAAATTATTACCTTTATTTCCAGCAGGTTTTAATATGAAAACAATTGATCCAGTTTTATCGGGTAAAATGATTGTATTAGATTATTTACTTGCTGTTATCAAGGCAACAACTGATGATCGTGTCGTACTTGTTTCAAATTATACACAAACATTGGATATTTTTGAAAAATTATGTCAACAACGACGGTAAGTTCAACTAAATATTCAAATTTTCATATTGAATTACTTTCATGTAATAGTCTGTTTTTAACTAATGAGTCGCTTTGTTAACGAAAGATATTCGAGTTTTAAGTTATCGACCATGCTGAGTCCGAAGATGGTCATGAGCAATCTCCTTAGGTCTCCAAATGTTGGCTTTATAGACTGACAAAATTTTCGTTTGATCTGTCCGAACTGTAGAATATATCATATTGTCTAGAAAACAGTAAATTTTTCTGTTTCGATTTGTTTTCTTTTACGAAAAATGTAGCCGTTTTAATTCATACAATAAGTGAATATCAACATTTTTATGTGAAGATCTTCAAGATGATATTATTTCACTTAAAAGTCACTTTTAGATAGCAGAAAATATTATTGACTTTTAGACAACTCGATATGCTGTATAATCTGACTAAATTGAACACTATTTTAACGAGGGAGTTTCGTAATGTGAACAAGCGTTTTTCTAGAAAACCAGAACAAAAAGACCTCGAAGGATTTACCATTATCATATTCTGAATCAGCATGATTGATAATCAATCTATCATTCAATAGCTTTTATTAAGAAAGCAACTGATTAATAGAAAATATTTCCTCGTTACTTTTATTTTTATAGAGATAGTATTCCAATACAGTATTCCAAATATTAATAAGAATTACTATAAGGCATACTCTTGAAAACTAATATAGATCAAAGCAAATATGAAATTTTTCGAATACACATAAATCAAAACCTGTACCCAATTTTTTTTACATGAAAAAAAAAACGTATCTAGCAAATATATTCACCATGTTTATATCAGAGTGAAGGCTATTAGAATGAGTTATTAATTTTATTCTGGAAGAGTATAGGATATATGCTTAGCATTACTTTGATATGAAATGTATAAAAATCTACCTAAACACAGGGAATTTTAAAAAAGAAAAATACAGATTATTTCGACTTTAGTGCAATAGATCTATGTAATGTTTTGATTTCATATATGGATAATATAAGCAAAGATTGCTTTGAAGTATTCTTATTGACTTCACTAAAGAGATATAATCTGTTACTAAGTAAAAAAAATTCATATGAAACGACTCATAGATAATTTTCAGTTGTCATCGAGAAGAATAACAAAATAAAAATCGAAACAAACTGTATTAATGATATTACATTGATGCATATAGACTAAACTTTTAGTATTGTGTTCGTTTAAATGTTTTAAATTCGTGTTCAATAATTCAAGTATATATATAGTTGAGTCGTACAGGTATTGATTCATCAAGTTCCTGGCAGAGGTGGGCGGGGCATCGATTTTTTTAGGACGCGCGAACGCCAAACCCGTCTCGCCGATCCCCGTAGAAAATTTTTCTGAACATCCCCCTCCCCGCCCGTGCCCCGTTAAATTTCTACCCTGCCCCGCCCACCCCCGTGGAAGCAAGCTTTCTGTACCGGCCCGCCCGCCGGTGTATTCTTTCACGGGCCCCGCGCCGCTCCCGTGAAACCCGAAGACAATTTTTCAGTTATTTATCTTACATAACTAATCAAATTATTACCAAAAAGTTTAGACAAAGCTTCTTGGATCTTTGAATGAGCTGCGGTCGATAGAATCAGTAAAAAGTCATTGACTATAGATCGATTGAGGCTGGCTCTTTTCTGGGAAATGATGATGATATCATTTGATCATCATTATTGATAAAAGACATAATTACCTAAAAATATTTATTCTAACGGGTGGGTCAGAATAAATTGCACTGAACGATTTTCTTTTTTTCACTCACTGCCTGCACATGAAGAGTATTGATTTATTTATTGAAAGATAGCAAATCTTAAGCTATGCAAATCTGCCAATCTCTTTTCTCAAATAAGCTTGCCTTATCGGTGCTTAATTAAAAAAATTTATATCAACTCGATCATTCAGCTGCAACGGTAAAAAAAAGAAAAAATGACGAAATTTTTTAATTAATAGTTTGGTCAATATTTAAACTAACTTAAAAAATTCTCCACAAAATTCTGCATCTGTTATTGCATATTTCTGAATTTTTAAGGAAATATTTGAGAAAAACAAGTTCAATGGGAAAAATGTGAAAACAATGAAAACGACTTTTTCGATGAATCTAAGCAATAGCTCTTTTTTAATACAAGATAGCGTAAGTTTTTTTACTGCTCAACTTAACAATTATACTATTTTGTTCAGAATTGAATCCTGCATTTGATGGCACAATAATAAGTCTTTTATAGGAAAAAGCTGACTTTTGGCAACATGCTTTTCCTAAGTACACCTTGAAGTAAGGACAGGTGCCAATTTCAAGCATTCTTCTCCCCAGTAACGAAACTAGAAACTCTGAAAAAGTCATCGAGTAATAGAACAACAAATTCTCTATCTACCAGTATCAAAAGCTTCACTTCTAGGATTCACCTGAATCCGTAAAAGTTTGTATTAATCTATAAATGTAGGTAAAGAAAAGAATATCGTAGTTAAATCATCGAGTAGAAAGTAAATCTTCTAGCTATGTGCCAAAAAGAAAGCCTTATTTGAAAAACCAGCCACATAGCTTTGTAGAGCTTGAGATTCTCTACCTTTTTATATCGCAATAAATCTCTCTCATGAACGAGAAATGATGTAAAAAGGTATAAACATTTAGTGCAATTTATCCTGGTCCACCCATTAGTTATCAAATGAATTTTTCTTTACTTTTTTGCTGATTGATGCAGATCAATAATCGAAGTTCAATATTAATTCGTAGGCTAGTGAACGATAATTCAGTGCTCAATTTGAAAAAGTTAATGATTTAATACATTAAAGCATATGAATACGCCAAGCAAGGAAAAGAAAAAAAAAGAACAAGAAGCTTGTTACTAATAGGATGAAAACAACAAACCAGTCAATATATATTCCTTACGGCACATCTAGACTAACAACACCTATCGATAATTTTTCACTGTACTTCATTGCGCCCGAAAACGTTGTTTACCCGCCCGAACCCGTGTACATCTATCCCCGTCCCGCCCGAAGCCCGCGACTTTTTTAAAAAGTCTTACTCGCCCCGGATCTCCTGTGGGTTGGCCTAGCCCGTACCCGCCCGCCCGTCGCCACGTGGCCCCGCGGGTCGAAACCCGTGGACCGCCCACCTCTAGTTTCTGGTAAAAAAAAGCGATGGTTGGTTATGTCATACTTATATAGAAAAAAAACTTCTAAATAGGTCTTGATCAACAATGAAAACAAAATCAGACTGCTTAATTGAAGTAAAATGGGAATATTCGCACATTTTATCCTATAATTATATAGCATACATGTAAGATTAGGTAAAGAAAACTTATCTTTACCAGTTATCTATAAAAGAAGTAATTTTAGTTCGATACGCTAATATACTATTGATTAACAAGGAAAGAAGATTTGATTTTATTACTTTCTATTGACGAAATATATTATAGGAACTGTGTTCACAGCTTTTATTTTTCATCTCCTACGAGAAACATTTTTATGTAAAATTTCGTTGAAAGCATGCACCTTCATGTGAATTGATTTTGTAACTCTAAGTGTACTAATTCAATAAAAAAAAGGTCGACTAGAGATGTATCAACTTATGTTAATAATTAGTTTTTTTTATATGTACTGAACAATAGTAGTCACAATTTTATTCTTGTGAACTACTGAAACTTATCGATGTATATTGAATACATAGAAAGTTACTAACAAATCATTTTCATCTTTTTCTTTTTTATTTCTTAGATATCAATTTGTTCGTCTTGATGGTTCAATGTCAATAAAAAAACGAGGCAAAATTGTTGATAGTTTTAATAATCCTGAAGCAAGTGTTATTTGCCTGCTTATTGAATTCTAAAATTCAATTTATTTTCGTTATTAGAGTTCAGATTTTATCTTCATGTTAAGTAGTAAAGCAGGTGGTTGCGGTCTTAATTTAATCGGTGCTAATCGTTTAGTCATGTTTGATCCTGATTGGAATCCAGCGAGTATGTACTTTTCATAGAAACAGATTTTTTTTAAATAAATTTTTATTCTGTTTCATAGATGATGATCAAGCTATGGCTCGGGTTTGGCGAGATGGACAAAAAAAACAATGTTATATCTATCGTCTTATTTCGGTATTTGAATATTTTTATTAAATAATGAATCAAATTTTCATTTCGATTTAGACGGGTACACTTGAAGAAAAAATCTTTCAACGACAAGCACATAAAAAAGCATTGAGTAGTTGTGTAGTTGATCAAGAAGAAGATGTTGAACGCCATTTTACAGCTGATGAATTACGAGATTTATTTCGAATTAATGAAAGTACTCGTAGTGATACTCATGACAAGTAATTAATTATTATTTTATTTTTTGAAAAATATATTTGTTTATTTTAAATTAGATTTAAATGTAAACGATGTATGAATCAAATTCAAATAAAACCACCATCTGATGATGCTGATTGTGGTTGTGATTTAACACAATGGCATCATTGCTGGGATAAACGTAATTTAGTTGATCAATTACTTAAACAAATTTGGCGTGATGATGTTATTTCATTTGTTTTTCATCAAAGATCACATGAACAAAAAAAGACTGTTTGAACTTTGGTTTATATTATATAGAAAATATTTTTTTGTACTCGAAAAGAATCAATTATCGCGTTTGTCTTGCTAGCAATGTTTATTTTTTAATTTATTCTATATGTGTGTATTATCATTATTGTTTCATATCTCTATCTTTTGTCTAACAAGCAAAATTAACTTAATCTGATATACTCTAGTTCATGATAAATAAATGTATACATAGGATCTGATTGAATATTTAGATCAAAAGAACTTATAAGAAACTTTTAATGTTAACGTTCTTCTTCATATTTGTATATGAATTTCTATTTCTTAAGAGCTTGATGAAGTCGACTTTAATATGAATTGATGCAAAATATTGGAAAGAAAAAAGTGCAAAGGATCAAAACGTGTAATAGAAAGAGGATTCTACATTCCTTGTTTGAATCATCACATATATTATTGTTGCGTGACAAATGAGCTCCATTTTCTTAGTGTAGCATCAATCGTCATTTCATGCAAAAGTAAACTTAACAATTCAGTATAATTATAATGGTAGACATCATGTTTGCATCTTTAGCCTTAGCGACATGATTTGCAATTCCATTGAAATATCGAAAAAAAAATGAAATCATCTTGGAATGTGCAGATACAAAAGTGGTGTCTGTTACTACAGCCGTAGTAAGTTGTTGAGTTTAAATGAAAACGGACGACCACATTATCCAGTGCCAGCAATTGTTTCAGTAGGTTGTGGATTTTACAAGTCATTTGAGTAGCATCAGTTGAGCATTGAAGTGAAGATGTGCGACGATGATCATTATTTAATGTCTAAAGAAATCAGTCAACTGTTAAGAAGATAGAAGTTAAGAAATAAAATACTTATTCGTCTAGTTTAATTGTTCCGAATCTCATTTTCATATGAACTATTTTCAAATGTTAGTTTCCCTTTTCTAGATTGTTTTGAATTGTGGTGGTACTTTATCTTTACTTTCCTGTCCTCGGTAAAGTGAGGTTGGAAAACAACATTTTTCATGTATAGATGAAAAATTGACATTTTAAAACTTTTTTTCAAAGTACAGCAAAGATAAAGTACCAGCTCTATTCTTGTTTTATTGATATATCAATTGTTGCTGTTATCAACAAATTCATTAAATGTTCTGATAAGTCATCTGTTATATTATCGAGTGTCTCAGAAAAATCGCAAATTTTTGTATTCTAAAGATATCTCTTTTAATATTCATTGATTCGGGTTTTTTTCAAAAAATTCATCTTTTAATTTTCTACAAAATAGTATATTTTTTATTAATGCGAATAAATTTCATTATTATGCAGGGCACGCTTCAAACGAGCAGTCAAAAATAAAAACTTTTCTGAAGGAGCACCTTTTGATGTTACCTTTTCCCAATATGATAGAACTAATTAAATCCTTCAACGTTGAATGGTCTATGATTGAAATCTGAACTGTTCGACGATAAATGTTTTTTGTACATGATAAATCGGATGTTGTTGTGACATCATTATTTTGTTAATTGATGGATATAAGGTTGAGTTCTGTCCTGTTGAAATATCCAATTTGACACCAGTGATTATTTTCGACTAAGAGAGATTGGACCACGCTGAATAAATCTAAAATATTCTTCGAGCAACACTAAAATATGAAAATTAGATGTTCGAAAAAGACTGGATATTTCAGCAGGACGGAGTTCAACCTCATATCCATCAGTTAACATAATAACGATGTCAGAAAGACTTTCCATTTATCATGGAAAAAAAACATTGATTGTTGAATAGTCCAGATTTCAATCATAGATCATTCAACGTTTGAAGGATTTAGTTACTTCTACCATATTGGAAAAAGGTAACATCAAAAGGTACTCTCTCAGGAACGTTTTTATTTTTGACTACTCGTTTGAGGCGTGTCCTGCAAAATTATGGAATTTATTTAGATTAATAAAAAGATATACTATTCTGTAGAAAATTAAAAGACGATTTTTTTGAAAAAACCTGAATCAATGAATATTAAAAGAGATATTTTTAGAATACACAAAGTTGTGATTTTCCTGAGGCACCCGACAGATTAAGGTTTAAATATAAACAGAGATTTTTGTTGATTAATATTAATTGCTGGTGTTGTCTTTCCATTACTATCACTACCATCTGATGTGCATCCACTTTATCAAACTTAAAAGACCTCCGATGGAACAGCAATATCAAGTTTTTTCCGACATATCAGTGTAGTCCCAAGTGTGAAAAACTGAGTACCGATGAAGTCCAATGTATATATGTGTGAGAAGTAACTAGGATTCGATGCTGATTCTTGGGCTAGTAAAATTAGGGACAGGTTTTTTTAATATACTAAGTTAATAATTTCGCAAACCTTCTGTCAATTTAATCATACGAAAAACTTTTCAGGTGGTAATTCCAAAAATGGCACTCTTATTCCAGCAGATTCTCAAGTTTAATACATTCAGACCGACTCGTGAAATAACATCAATTCAAGAGCATTCATAGAGATATCATATGCATTCAAGAATCATTACTTCTGCGAGAACTTCTTGAGTGACATAAATACAAAATTTTCTGTTGAAAATTAGTTTCTGATCATGGTTCTTCGATGAAAACTAAGTTGCTTAACAGGATATTTCTGATAAAGTATAAAAAATAAAAATTGCAACTCTAGTAAATAGTAAATTCGCTGTATATCAGTCGAGCTTTCACAAATCAAGACAATATTATTCGTCAAGCAAGTGTGTCATAGTTTTCATCGTCAAGTAAGTAAATGTCATAACGTTTCTTAATGGAAAGAGGTAAAAATCATGTTTTCCGGAGAATCAACCCGATGATACTTAAAATTTTGAGATAAGGTTGAACTCAAGTTTGATATTTGATGCTAACATACTAATAGAAATATTTTTCATCATGTTCTTTATATTTTATTTTAGTAAAAGTACAAAATACTTTTTCCAATGTAGAAAAACAGAATAAATTCATACATTAAAGAAAGATTATCCATTCATATAGAAACAATTAGTATAAATATTCCATATATGATAATAAAAAAACGTAAAAGATCACACGTTGTGCAAAATGAACATGTAAAGAAGAATGCACGCATTCATAATCGAAAAAAAAAGAAAAATCATAAGTTTTTCTTGCTCGTACTAACTCTTGCTGAGATCTACGTACATTTAAAGATGCAAAAAATTCGAAGCAGACTCGGCGTTTGAAACTAAAAGCTCTGTTATTTGTATTTAATTTTGATGGCTAAGATTTCGAACTTAGGTTGAAATTTGCACACAGCTAACGCGAAGTTTGAGATTTAATAGTAGTACTTTTGGATAGAGATGACATGTCTTAAATCTATTTATTCACACGAACAGAGCACTTTTCTTCAATTTGCGAGAAAAAATATTTTTGAGACAGCTCAGCTTCATTCGAAATAATTATGTATGATCATTAGTGATACAGTGACTTATTCTATGTAATATAAATTATATCTACTTATTTTCTTAACTCTTTTCAGATTTGTTGACTGATCACAATTTATTATTTTACAAATATATAATCGTTAACGACGACTATAACAATGAAAATATAACTTGGCACCATCTTGGACACGTTTCACACATTGGATGCCTTTCTTTTGATTTATGTAGTTTTTGCCATATGCTGGTACAATTCATATGTTCACAGTCTTCTTTGCCAAGTAGAAAAATCAATTCTTCATTCACATGGGCTAAAATTGTGACACATACTTCGGACAGTTTTTATTGTTATCTTCCTTATGATGATTGTTGCTGTCATATTTTATTGAACATATCTGAAAACTCAGAAAATTGTATCGCTTATGATCCACTCGGAGCTAGTCGAATATTGTCATTAGTCTCTTTCTTTTTCCAGATCTTTCTCATTCGTGAACTCTTCTCATTGAGTGGAGACTGCCATCGCATTTTCATTTATATTTTATTGATTGCTTCTGTATTGACTTTCATCGGTATCACAATTTGTATTTATTGGAGCAGTTGTTATCATGTTTCTATAACTGCAATTCTACACTTGGCTGGTGGATTACTCATGTTTCTCAGGGTGAATCACTTGCTAGTTAACAGTAAGTTTGAGACGCCAACGTCTTATCGAAATCAAATTATTATCACTAATGAATCAGAAAAAGATAAGAATATAAGTAAGAATGTTATAAACTCAAAGTTTTGGGATTTAGTATGATATCGTTTGATTGCAAGATTTAGTTTGAAATTTGAACTTAGATTTTCATAACACTAACAAACAGTTTTGGATCTGATAATAATTCTTTTGTGATCAATAAGTAAACTATACGATGTAACCATATGTAAATAGTTTTCCCCAACTTTCAAATAAAGTAACCTCAATGAAAATTATTACTGTCAATTGAAAATGAATAAGTTTATATTTATTTGATTGAAAATTCAATCTATGATACATTTTGTACTTAACCACAGCTTCATGTTACAGCAGACATCAAATGTAGTTGGAAAGTAATCAGAACATTCACTAAATTATCTCTCACATATTTACTCAACGTGCAAGGTAATTAATCACACTATATTGAAAAATAATTTCTCTATATATACCACTGTTTGAAAATATTACCATTGTATATTTTAGCAAAAGTAATAAAAACACAAAATCTAATATTTTTCATAGAAATACGTTCTCCACATCAATATAATATCGAATGTACCACGTTCAAAAAACAAGCTAGCTTAGAAAATGATTCGAAAAGATTCTGCTTTTATTCTGAATTGAATCATTTACGAAAGACAAAAAAAAAGTTCTTTAGAAGTGACTGATGCACATTCAAGCATAAACACACTATATGATGTGTACCAAAAACGAAATGTATGAATATAATGCTTTACCTAGTACATTTCGTTTTTACTAATAAAATTTTAAACTGGCATACTAAAATAGATAAATTAACCTTCAGCAACAGTTCATAGCTTTTATCATCACTAGATATAGGACATATTTGATGAAAACTGAAACTTCGATAAACGATC